ATCTAAACTGTTATCTGATAAATGTTTACGTAAATGAAATTCTTATCTGATAAAGACGAGAAATTGCTTCACAGAGTGCGAATTCAAAACTGTGGGGGCACTTCACAAGTAGGTAGTTTTTAAAGTCTCTGATCTAAACTTTTATCTGATAAATGTATACGTAAATGAAATTCTTATCTGATAAAGACGAGAAATTGCTTCACAGAGTGCGAATTCTATCTCCGAATCTATCGCGGGATGGACTTTGTTTCACTTGGAAGGAATACGTTTGTCGCAAGAGGTACAACCGTCAAATATCGCTTTGAATGGGGGGGGGGGGGGGGGGGGGGTGAAACAAAGAAACCCAAAAACACACACAAACAGAGGGATTCCTTTATCAAAATGTTTAATAGGGGCGTCTGTTGTGTGATGACTGGGAATTGCACAACAGCTTAGGTGGCCTATTTTACCTATAAGCAGGGGCAGTTTAGTATGATATTCCGGAAGGCCATCAGTTTTCTTTGAAGTACATTTTGCCGAAAACATCTGTTAAAAACGAAAGGCATATTTGGCGGGGCTTGGGGGTGGGGGGGGGGGGGGGGACAGCAAAAACAATATATGCCTTCATCGCTATTTTTGTATAATGATTTAACGTGTTTATTTAACCGGCACACAGAAAGCTGAATAAATCAATCGCTAAACACGCTCTCCTTAAATAGTATAACTCAGAAGAAAATGAAACGCTCACACGAAGAAGGATGGAACAGAACTAATTTAATCTCCAAACTTATAATACACTACTGCTCATAAAGTTGGTATAAATTGTATACCCCAATTTATTGAATTGTTTTGACAATGATTTATTCCTAATAGATCTAGATATTAATATACATTCGCAGATTTTATTGAATAATAATTTGCCAGTGTTTGATTGGCATGACTGCTAAAGCATGTGTATGCTACTATGTTTATCAACTAGGGGACCTACGCCCTTAAGTCATAAATGACAGTAATGGGGATTAATGCCCCACAAAAGGGCACTAATATAGCACGGTTTTGATCCTAGGGCCTCACAGTTACGAGGCCGTTGCTTTGCCACTGAACCATGACTATACGCAGCGGGGGCTAGGGTAGGGGGCAGTTCCCACAAATAAAAAAAACCCAAAGAAAAAGCAATAAATTATCAATAATTCATTGCATTTTACCCCGGTCCCCAACATAAAAAAATCCTCTGTACGGACATGCATTATGGCTCAAGGCATGGGCATACAGAAGATTTTTTTTTGATGACTTTATGAGAACAGTGTATGTGCCAATGTACAAATCAGGCATCATTACAAACTTAACCAATCAGGAGAAAGTCACGTGAGAAGAGAAACCAATCAAGATAGATAAGGTTAGATAGTTCAAACTAGGTGAGAGGCGAATAGAACCAATGAGAGAAGAGAAAGTGCCTGTTGCTAGAGCAGAACAAGGTGATCCATGCATAGAGAATGAGAACACAACAAAGAGAACGGGTTGAAAGGTGAGGAAGGAAAAAGGGGGTGGCAGTAGTGTAGGTGAAAGGCTGCGCTTTAAGAGGGTGAATGAAATGAAGAATGCAAATTGTATAAATGAATATGTAATAGTGGATATGGAAGAGAAATGTAATAAATGAAATAAGACCTGGGGCGGATATAGGGGGGGGGGTAGGGTGTTTAAATATCCCTCCCCATATTACTTTCTACCCCTCCCCCTCCCAGACATACCACACACACACAATACCAAATTATTCGGGATAAAACACTATTTCATAAGATGTATAATAATTTACTGTTCATAGATTGCTTTTTTTTTTATAATTAGCAATTTTCTAGGTATAAACTTTTTTTTGACTCACACGCCGGTAGTCATCCAAACGTTAAAACTGAAAATGGTAGAAGTGTCTTTTCTTTTGAAGGTGTACGTAGTGCCAAAACCAAGCAGTCCTTTTGCACAAGTTATTTGAGAAAAATGTAAATAAAACCCAAAACATAGTTCACGCAAATAGGGACTCTGTAAAAAAATGGAATATAAAGTCCTTACCAATTACAGATTACTGTATTATTTTCTCAAAAGTATTCTACATACTACAAATTATGTATTCTTATGTTTAAACACTCTGTGACTGCAAGGATTCGTTTTCAAATTAAAACAAAAAATATGACTTTCTTGATTTTGTGTGACCGTGCTGAGTTTACATTTACATTCAAAATTGTATCTGTATTCTTTCTGACATATCATGTTTATTATTCGCTATGTAGGCCTAGATCTAGTGATATGTTTGTCTTTATTATCACGTATGTTTATGTTATGCAGGGCCCGCAATTAAGTATAACACCCGAAGACGAAAATCCCATTGAAACCAATTGAACACCATGAACACCAATTGAATTTTCAATTGGTTTCAATTGGCTCCAATTGGTTTTAATTGGTCTCAATAATACATATATAATAATACATATGATTTATAAGGCGCCAAATCCACTTGACAGTCAAATGCTCAAGGCGCAGCTTGTGCAAAAGCTGAAATACATACATGATACATTTATACAAAGTGCGATAGGAAAGGTACAGACATGAAAGGTAATGGTAATCAATTATAAGCTAAATTAAACAGATATTTCTTAAGATTGTTTTTTAACACTTCAGCAGAACTGCTATTCTTAACCCATTGAGGGAGAGTATTCCATAGCGAAGGCCCAGCATGAGCGAAGGTTCGCTCCCCCCCCCCACTTTGTTTTAACCCTAGGAGTAACAAGTAAGCCAGAGTTTTGAGAACGTAGCTCTCTAGAAGGAAAGTAATGCTTAATCAAGCCGATGTTATACTGCGGAGCAGAGCCATGTATACAGTAAAATAATAGCAAAATAATCTTGAAAACAACACGTTTTTCTACGGGCAACCAATGGAGTGATTTGAGGACTGGTGTGATGTGACTGTACTTGTTGGACAGGGTCACGACACGAGCAGCAGCATTCTGTAATCTTTGTAATTTTGCGAGTAGGTTGTGAGGCGAACTAAACAAAAGGCCATTACCAAAATCCAAGCGAGAAGTAATCAAAGCATGAGTAATTTTCTCAGTGGCACCACGGTTAAGATATTTACGAATAAAACGCAAATTGCGTAACTGATAACGTACTGATTTTAAGACATATTGAATTTGAGTAGACATTTTCATGTTTGAGTCGAGAAACACACCAAGGTTGCGACATACATTAGATAGGGTAATTTCATGTCCAGCAAGAGTAATTGAAGTGATGGAAGAAATCTTCTCTAACTGAGTCTCAGAACCATACATTATAGGTTTTAACAGGTTTCAATGGGACTTTAATATGACTTCAGATGGTTTCAATTGGTCCAGATTGGCCCTATTGGACCAATTGGCCCCATTGGTCCCATTGGGGGGGGGGGGGCACAGGGGGCACGTGCCCCCCGGTCCCCCCAAAATATGTTAAAATCAGTCCCAAATCCGCCAAAAATGCACTGAAAAACAGGGGCGTGCCCCCCCCCCGGCCAAATAAAAATTATATTTTTTTAAATTTAAAAATAAAAATAAAAATAAAACAAATAAACAAATATGCCAATGGCTGACCTAAAAAGGTGACCTTACCCCCCCCAAAAAAAAAGGTATCCTCTTACCCCCCCCCTCCCCCCCCCTCCCCGCTTATTCAGCGGCTGAGCTGGCTGAGTCGTTGCGATTTTTTGGGGGGACTAAAAATATATATATATATATATATATATATTATGTTCTCTTCCTTATCGTGTCCCCCCCCCCCGGCAAGAAATTCCTGGATCCGCCCCTGGGACCAATAGAAACCAACAGAAACCAATAGAAACCAACAGATCTACGTATCTCATGCATATTCTTTATTACTTTACACGTGTCACCAGGGGCGTACTCAGGATTTTTTCAAGGGGGGGGGGGGTTTAAAATCTGGCCCAAAATTTTGCTCCCGAAAATTTGAAAATCGCGCCGGCCAAAAAGTCGCTCAGTGGGGGGGGGGGGGGGGGGGGGGGGTAGTCCAAAAAAAAAATCGCAACGACTCAGCCAACCGAAAAGTCGCCCAACATTTATCATGATTTGTTAAGCAAACTTATGACAATGGACATCAATTTTGTGATTTCTATTTTCCTTCGGGAATTATTAACCAATAGATTATTTTGTCTGATCAGGTTACAATTACATTCACGTTTTAGCAATAGAAATATACTAACCAAGAAACAACATGTATATTTAGTATATATATATATATGGAACCAATTGGCAATTGGTCCCCATTAAAACCAATTGCTAGTTGATTTCAATGGGGACCAATTGCCCATTAGTTTCAATAGGTACCCATTGTTTCAATTTCCATGTACTCCAAATTGCCAATTGGTATTCAATTGGGATTCAATGGGGATTCAATTGGATTTTTGTCTTGTGACGTACTGATGGGCTATCCTGTTGAAATAAAACGAAAGAAATAAGTAAATAAAAAATACGACTACTGACGACGCGAGTTTGTTGAAATTATTTCTGTATTGTTAATTCTGAGGTCAACGTACTATAAAGCTATATGCTTTTTGTTGTTGACCTCTCTTTCTCATTATTTCTTTTTGTCTTATTCTATTGCTCTTCATTGTTTTCTATATATGATGCTTTGTTGTTTATTGTTATATAGTGCATGTATGTTGGTTTTATTGAGAGCTGAAAATAAAGACTGAACCGAACTGAACCGTGAACTTCTCCATAATTTTTCTTGCTTAATAATCTCCCTTGATAGTGAGGTCACGTTGCGACCTAGTAGAAAAGTTAGATTGAAAACTACTCTAATTCTATCCCTTGTTTATACGCTAGTGAATATGTTTTTTTGGCCGAGAATACTAGTAGTGAAACTCGCTGGCTCCTCTTGATATATTTTTTCATTGACAATATTTTTCAAATCCGATTTCGCTGAATGTTTTGCTTTCTCGACTGCACCATAGCCTCCTACGCGTAAGTACTAGGCGGCAACTTCATTGTGAAAGTAGAAAAAAAAATGGCCAAAGCAGCGTCTGCAGACGGGGAGGAAACAGTCGTTTTACAAGGAGAGGAACCAGGTGCAAGGTACTATAATTATGAGGAAGATGTCTTAAATTATTGTTGGTGTGTGTGGTAGATTGATTTTATGTTGAGTTTCCTTTTCGATTTGTTCAACTTCAAGCAGCTGGGTGTAGTCCCGTGAGTAGGGTATTGCGTAGCCTATCTCCAGTGCAGAGGTCGCAAATGAAAATGATTCAAACACGGCGTTTGGGTCATAATTCTATGAAATGTAAAGAGGAAGTGATTACATTTTTGACTCACAATTTTTTCGACTCCGCTGGGCAGCCGTCCAACCATGTCCAAATTAAAAATTTAAGAAGTCTTTGATGGGGAAAAAGGGTGATTTTTCGTCAGCGCTGGTCCGAGAATGAGGATCGTCCTCGTATTAGGGAGGCCAATGCCCAAATCTAACTTTTTAATTACTAATTTGTTTATAATAAAACAAACATTAAAAGAAAGCATTTTCTTTCACTAAGAAAACTCACCCATCTGCCGACTCCAGAAGTTCCTTAAAATAGGAGATATCCAGCTAGTTCCTATGACTTTTATGAGCTTCCTTCTAGAGTAAAGGAGCCGGTAATCGGCCAGCTCCCGTTTTCGGCCGATTGGTTGGATGCGAGGTAAAATCACTCTAAAATACATCGCTTAATAGCAAAACACATATCCCACACATACCATATCATGCCAGTGTCACTGAAGAACCACATTTGCAATGAAAAATATATCCTAAAATATCACATTTTAGCGATGTGTTGTAAAATTGCCTTTTGTAAGCCAAATTATTGTACCCTATTTCGCGGACGCGTAAGTTCATACATGTCTTGGATGCGCTTACGCGTCCGTCCGTCGCCAACCTCTCAAAGACGGGCCTATAAGAGTCCCGGACACAGGCCGTCACCTCATTCTGGAATCTGCTGAGCTGTGACACACACCCTTACTCCAGAATCACTAGCTTCCCGATTCATGGACTCCCGGTTCACCTCAAGACCCGGGAGTTAGCATGTTTTATTGTTAGCTGAGCATCTTCAGCTATGCTGAGCTATAACTGAAGGACAAGTAGAGATAATATAAGGTTAGTTTAGTGTTTAGTCGGTGTCTTGTCTTGTCTTCTTCATTTCATCCATTTCACCGCACCGTAAGTAAAACGGTGGTAACTCCGCCATCATTCATAACACTGCTATCATTCTACTCACCACCCGTTTTTACTTCATTGGCGCTGCGACTTTCATTCGAACTTGCGCTTGGCTATATTTTTCCGTTCCATTATATTTGTATTTTTCGTGTGTGTATTTCATTGCTGTGCACTGATTGTGATTTTACGGAACTTTCCGTCGCACGTGTCACACTTTTGAAGCGTGGGCAGCCATCTTGTTCTGAATACATTTTTGGTTCGCCGTGTGTATATTAGCGTGTATTGTGTTTACGTTTTCGTGTGAGCTCTTTCGAGTGTTCGCGCTAGCCTGGTATTACCAGGCGTTTGTTGTTTTTCGATTTATTTTACTGTTGCGTGTGCCTTGCTTTATTTTCCATTCTTATAACTCGGCATAGATTTATTCTACGCCGGTTATTTTGGTCTGGCATTTGTATTGTTCTAGTTTGTTGGATGCTGTCACTTTCGTGTCAGTATCAAATTGCACTTGCATTTCTGTCTCTTTCGAGTCCTCTCCTTTTCGTTGAAAGAAAAGTTGAGAAGGGGACAGAGTAGTTAAGAATTTCTGTCTCTTTCGAGTCCTCTCCTTTTCGTTGAAAGAAAAGTTGAGAAGGGGACAGAGTAGTTAAGAATAAATTTTAACTAGATAAATTAAATTAAGTTAATGCAAGTGATTTCACTTACTTGCATTTTTCTGTCTCTTTCGGTTCCTCTCCTTTTCGTTGAAAGAAAAGTTGAGAAGGGGACAGAGTAGTTAAGAATAAATTTTAACTAGATAAATTAAATTAATTTAATGCAAGTGATTGCACTTACTTGCATTTTCCTGTCTCTTTCGAGTCTTCTACTTTTCGCTGTAGAAAAGTAGGGAAGGGGACAGAGTATACTTAAGAATAAGTAACTAATTATTTTTTATTGAAATTAAAAATAATTAAGGTAGTTAAGACTTGGACTAAATTAATTAACTAATAAATGTGCATGTGTGTAGTTTTGCTGCATAAATTATGTGTACGTGTCATCGTAGGGAGTATTAATTTAATTCATTGAAATAAGCTTGGTTCCAATTTGGGATTTTATAAAGATCTGGAATTTGATCACTCTTTTTGAATTTCTTAACAAGGAGTTGTTAATTTCCTAACCTTGTAGTACCATAGTGGGGTTTACCAGCACTTTGGAGCAGGTTTTCTCGACTAGGTCTACACTACAGTAGTTTCGAGCTTGAGTAATTTGAATTTATTCAAATCTCTTAGCTCAATTACGGTTGGGGATTATTATATTAAAAGATTAGTCAGATTTCATTTTATATTTTTGAATTGATAATTCTCTAACTGTGTATTACCATAGTCTTGGTCGTCTGCACTTTGTGAGCAGGTTTTCTCGACTCGGTCTACAGTAGTTGGCGCTTGAGTGATTGGAATTTATTCAAATCTCTTAGCTCAATTACGGTTGGGAATTATTATTTAAGGATTAGTCAGATTTCTTTTTATATTTTTGCATTGCTAATTCTCTAGCCTTGTAGTACCCGAGTCGTGTTCACCAAGCCTTTTGAGCAGGTTTTCTCGACTCGGTCTACAGTAGTTAGAGCGCGAGTGATTTGAACTTAGGTCAATCTCTTGGCTCAAGGGTTGGGAGTTTATAATTGAAGGACTTTTCGGATTTCATTTTGGATTCCGACTCGGACTCTTGCATTGCAAAAATAGAGCTTTGTTAGCTAGATTTCTCACAATTAAAAGTAACAGACTTTAAAGTAACTGATTTAAAAATAAGTAACTGAATTCAAAGTAACTGAATTCAAGGAAACTAAACTCAAGGAAACTAAACTCAAGGAAACTAAACTCAAGGAAACTAAACTCAAGGCCACTAAACTCAAGGAAACTGAACTCAAGAAAACTGAATTCAAGAAAATTGAATTCAAGAAATATTTATTCAAGAAAACTGAATTCAAGGAAACTGAATTCAGAGTAACTGAGTTCAACGTAACTTGATTCCTAGAAACTGGATTCCGATTGGCTGGACTCCGATTAGTTGGACTCTGATTAGTTGGATTCCGAGTAGTTGAATTTAAAGTTGTTAGTTGAATTCAAAGTTGTTAGTTGAATTTAAAGTTGTTAGTTGAATTCAAAGTTGTTAGTTGATTTCAAAGTTGTTAGTTGAATTCAAAGTTGTTAGTTGAATTCAAAGTTGTTAGTTGAATTCAAAGTTGTTAGTTGAATTCAAAGTTGTTAGTTGAATTCAAAGTTAAGTTGAATTCAAGGTTAGTTGAATTCAAGGTTAGTTCAATTCAAAGTTGGTTCAATTCAAAGTTGGTTCAATTCAAAGTTAGTTCAATTCAAAGTTAGTTCAATTCAGAGTTGGTTCAATTCAAAGTTGGTTTAATTCAAAGTTGGTTTAATTCAGAGTTGGTTGAATTCAGGTTTGGGTTAATTCAAAGTTGGTTGAATTCAAAGTATATAGTTGAATTCAGAGTAGTTGCATTTAGAGTAATTGAATTTTGAATTCGAATGTCTGTATTAGATTTATGGAGTCAAGAGAAGCCAATGGCTTCCCAAGCTGGTGGAACTGAGGCAGTCGTTTCCAAAGCTCCATCCGAAAAAGATGTTGAGCGATTGGTGGAAGCGAAATATAAGGCAGTAATAGAGGCTCTCCAGACCACTCTTCGGAATCAAGGTCAGCAGCGTGTTGCAGCGGAAGCTCCTCCTCCTATGGAGAGGCTTCCAGCTCGACAGAGTTCGCCGCAGTATACCAGATACCAAGATTATCGGCATACTGCCTATCAACGTGATGGTTTTCCTTCTCCACCAGATGTGCACCGATCTCAGGATACCCATAATTCCCACTTATTTCGTGGGGAGGGTAACCGTGAGAGGGGCCACAAGTCTTTTTCCTTGCCCAAGTCCATGGTTTTCGATGGCCGCGGGAGTTGGCAAGCGTTCATCGCTAAGTTCAACCTTGACGCTGAGGCGTTTGGATGGACTTTGAGCCAACGAAGGAATCAACTTTGCTGGTGCTTGGGTGGAAGTGCAAGCGAGTATGTCTCATTGCTCGTTAAGCATGAACCTCATCTTGGGTTTGCGGACTTAGTCCGGAAACTGGAGAAGCGGTTTGCGTCAAGGGACGAAGTTGCACAATTGCAATTTAATTACGCGAGGCAGCAACCTGAGGAATCCCATGTAGATTGGGCGAACCGCCTTATGACATTGGCTGCTCATGCCTTTGCAGATTTACCGGACCACCATGTTGAAAAACAGGTCGTCCATAGATTTTGCCAAGGATGTTTTGATAGAGAGGCTGGGCACTATGCTATTTATTATTGCCCTAGATCTTTGGATGAAGCCATCGACTTAGTGAGATGGTTTCAGCATACCCATAAGGCAATTCATGACAAATCGCGGAAGGAAGTCAGACCAACGTCTGTAGAGGTATCTGCGGAGGAGCCAAGGATTAGCCGTACAGCTACACCTGATCCTCCGCAACAACAACCACAACCCTCCCGATTGGACAGGATTGAAGTTTCGAATCTGGAGAAGAAGGTGGATCAGATCCATGGTTCTGTTTCTTCGATTGAGACTCAAGTGAAGAGTTCATATTCTTCAATTGGATCTCAAATGAAGAACCTTCAATCCACTGTCCAGGGACTCGTTGTTGTGCAGAACTGTTCTCGAGTCGAGTCTGACTTACCTGAACCTGATTTCGGTCAGTCCGGATTGGATTTGCCTGGACCAAATTTAGGTCCGCCGGGATTGGACTTACCTGAACCTGATTTCGGTCAGTCCGGATTGGATTTGCCTGGACCAAATTTAGGTCCGTTGGAATTGGACTTACCTGAACCTGATTTCGGTCAGTCCGGATTTGACTTACCTGAACCAGATTTGGGACC